ATAAAAACTGTCACTTTAAAAAACACTCATAACCGCCACCCTAAAACTCCCAAGAAGGCCCTGAAGGTAAAGGAGTCTTAATTCTCTCTATCTCTTGGAGGTTAGAAACTCTGTAGAATATCTCTACACACACAATTCACTATATCTGTCTTCAAATTTCTCAACACAACGGCTGCCCAAATGGCAGATATAACAAAGCATGCCCCCATTGGTTTTGGTGGTCGAAACTTGATCTCAGATTTTAAGATCCACTTCTCGTTATTCAGAACTAAGACAACCGTTGCTATTGCATATGGGTTTGGGTTTATGTTCGTTTTCATTGCCGTCACCATTTTTCTTCCTTTCACCCTCTCACCGCCGAACTCTTCTTCGCCCTGCTTCACTAGCATTTTTGCTGCTTCCACTTCTTCAACCTCATCCTCGTCATCATCACCATCATTTTTCTCTTATTTGAATGCCCATAATTCTTCCCCGACAGAAGACAATGTTAGATCCCTGAACCCCACGATGCGACAATACAATTTTAATAAAGAACCCCCAGTTGAAGTCTTGAAGCCAACTAGTACTTCGGTTTTGCATTCTGAATATCGGAATACAGCGATATCAAATTTTACTTCTGAATCGAATAAAGGTTCTTCAGATGTCAAAAATCACACTCAAATCGCAGACAGACTTGAATTTTTGAAGGAGAACCTCACTCAAACTGACAAAGTTGAATATTTGAAGACAAATCAGAGCACAATTGGGGGCACAAATCATTCAAATACCAAAGGTAAAAAGAACGGAGACCGAGGATTTACAGAGAATGGCTTGATTAAGAACTTAACTTCTTCTGACGATTTGATAAACTCTTTGATGAAATGTAATTTTTATGATGGAAATTGGGTGAAAGATGATTCTTATCCACTGTACAAGCCTGGTTCTTGTTCTCTGATTGATGAGCAATTTAACTGTTTTCTCAATGGTAGACCTGATAATGACTATCAGAGAATGAAATGGAAGCCCAAAGCTTGCACACTCCCAAGGTAATCTCAAAGACTTTTTTATTCATCTCATCACAATCGGATTTGTTTTAATTCAATCTAGGTGTACTGCAAAGTTTTATATTAATCTGGTATCGCTGATTTGTTTATACATTATGGGAAATTTTACGTCAAGTTTTAGTTTATATTAAACTGTCAATTCATTGCATCCAAATTTTCAGGCTAAACGGAAGTCATATGCTGGAAATGTTGATAGGGAAGAGATTAGTGTTTGTTGGAGATTCTCTGAATAGGAATATGTGGGAATCACTTATTTGTATATTAAGGAACTCTGTGAAAGATCAGAGTAAAGTTTATGAGCAACAAGGCAGGCACAATTTTAGGACAAAAGCTTCTTTTTCCTTTATATTTGAAGTAAGTTATTGGACTTTGATCTAAATGAGATTCGACTATTGTAATTTTTTAACTTGATATCGCTTATTCTGAAATTGTTATTTTTCTTTCCTTGGATTGCTGTTGATGGATTTGTAGGACTATAATTGCACTGTTGAGTTCTTTGTAACTCCTTTCTTGGTTCAAGAATGGGACGTCGACAACAAAAATGGAACCAAGAAGGAAACACTTCGACTCGATATAATTGAGAGATCAGCTGATCATTACAAAAATGCAGATATCATTGTTTTCAACACTGGACACTGGTGGACTCATGAGAAGACATCGAAAGGGTAAAAGTAATGAATTTGTTCGACAAGACCGGTTAGTAGTGTTTCCTTAACAATTTGAATATTTCAGGGAAGACTATTATCAGGAAGGTAGCCATGTCTACAAAGAGTTGAACGTCCTTGAGGCATTTCGGAAAGCTTTAACAACATGGGGAAGATGGATTGATGCCAATGTAAATCCAATGAAAACTCTCCTCTTCTTCAGAGGTTATTCTGCTTCTCATTTCAGGTAACATATTGCAAAGGTCTCAAAACTATGAAAATGAATTTATAGTTCCTAACCATATTTTTTCTCAACAGAGATGCTTTAATATAAGATCTACAAGTTGAACAGAAATTGCTTCATATTGGTTGATAAGTTGTTTTTCTCCTAACATGTATTGATTTCTTCGATCTTGATAAAATTATAGTACTTTGTCTTACAACAGTGGTGGGCAATGGAATTCTGGTGGGCAATGTGACCACGAGACTGAGCCAATAAAGAACGACACATATCTCACTCCATATCCACCGAAGATGACAGTTTTGGAGAACGTGTTGAAAGGAATGAAAACCCGCGTAACTTATCTCAACGTCACGACAATGACCGATTATAGAAAGGATGGTCATCCATCAATTTATCGGAAGCAAAACTATTCCGAAGAGGAGAAGAGATCCCCATTGAGCTTCCAAGACTGTAGTCATTGGTGCCTCCCCGGAGTGCCTGATGCTTGGAACGAGATACTCTATGCCGAACTTTTAGTAAACCAGAAGCAACGTCAGAAAAGGCATCAGGACTAGGCTCTTGAGTAATTATACAGAAATGTACATTATACGTTTCGTTGCTTTTGAGATACGGATACATAAAAATAACCTGCTGAAGATCCAAGAAACAGTATCTTCGTACGGTATATAAATAACAAGAAACATAGAGAGATTAGTAGCTTTAAAGCAAGAGATTGTACTTCAATATGCGGATGCGGTGAAAGAAAGGCTTTCGATCGGGGGCTATATTGATATTTTCTTTATGAAGAATTTTTAATGCATGATATTAATTATTATTTCCCTTCAAACTTTACGAATTTAGGCATAATAAGATGTTTCTATATTTGTAATATTATTTTTATTATTCTAAGACCATTAAATAAATGAATAATATAAAGCTTGAGAGTATGTGCTTTTCTTAAATATTATTTCTGTTAGAGTGTATTTTGTGACTTGTAATTTTATATTTATTAACTCTTCATTTTATTTAATTAATAAATTTAACCTTTAAAAAAATTGGCCAAAAAAAAAAAAAAAAAAAAAAATTGGGCCCCT